TTTCTAAGCACAGTATACCCACTACAAAAATGTAGACTACACCACTGACCTTAACCTAACTCAGACCCTAAACCTAACCCCCAGACCCTAAACCTAAAGGCCCCCACATTCTCGGACATACTTCACTCCACGGAGATCCGTGCGTACTCGAGGTGGACTCAACGCAGACTCGAAGCGGACGTCCGCCAGCCATGTCTGTGCAAAGATCCATTTTTACGACCGCGTACTCTGTGTCGCATAATAAACTGCCTGACGACGGACTGTTTTGTATGTGACGCCAACCGCTCGCTGTGTTACGAGCAACCAGTCGCAAGGATGCACAGTGCGAATGCTGCTCTCTGTGCTGCGCTGACAGGTGTGCGGTGGCTGCCCTGGTGGTGAAGAAACGGGACTAAGCGCCCAACTAGCCCATCGAGCTTGCTTGAATCCATTCGAAAATATTCTAAACGTATCTCGCTGTCCATCATCTTCATGTCCATTGACGCCATGACTGAAATTGTGAGAAATTAAGGAATTTGTCACTAGAGAATTAAAATCTGTACGCTCGAGTATGAAGTCAACCGTCTGCGGACAGTACATGTGGAGTTCGCGCAGCTCAGCGAGTACGCACAGTACGCTCAAGTCTGTGTGAACCTTAACCCCCAGACCCTTTACTCTTAACCTAACCACGTGACCCTCGTATCAGTGCTAACAACATAATTATCAGCACTAACAACATACCTTTAAATAGGAGGTACAGGAGGGGCAGTCTGAGAGCAACCTAATGGGATAACAACTAATAACGGACCATTTAATGGGTGATAACATTTGAAGTGGGTGAACAAAAACTGTACAACTAAACATCATTACTTGTTTTAATACTTAAATTAAATCATAAAAAATACTATGTAGAGTATACTTACATCACTAATAATGGGAGTAATTGTCAAATTTTCATTTTCTACATAGATTTAAGGATTGAATTGTTTAGCGTAGTTTATTTAAACTGTTTTTTTTTTTTTGTTGTTGTTATTTCATTTACACCATCCAAAATGCTTTTATATATCAAGAAAAAAAAAACGTTTCTTTTTTATATGCTTGTTTGTTAATTTTTGGTTTGTTTTTGCTTTTTTGATTCTTTCAAACATAAAAAAAAAAAAAAAAGATGCAATGATCTTAAGACTGTATAAAGTGCACATGCAAACCAAAATAATAATCATAAAATATACATAAAGCTTGTGAAAGTTAAATTAGACGTTTGTATGTGTTTTAATTACCTCTTTATACAACAAACTAAAGTATTAAAAAAATGCTAGAAAGAAGCATGGAAGCTCAGGTGTAATAAAAATAAATAAATAAAAGATAAATCAATTTTATAATGTGTTTAAAAGGTGGCACATCCAGATGTTTGGTACTTGCTTTTTTTTTTTTAATTCATTTCAAAGAGCACAGAAATCTTACTGACTACTCAAGGTAAAGAAAGAAATGATGATTATTCTGGTAATTTCTGTGGGAAATCTAATTGTCAGCGTGTTGCCCAGCTTATCATCAAATCAGCATTCATTCAGGCTCACATGTCGTTTGAAGAAAAAAAATTAGACAAGCTATTTAAGGAAATTCCAAACATTGCTATTGTTGGCAGGAAATAGTATTCCCTTCATAAAAGACTTTGATGCTTTTAAGATGAAAATAACCCAATCCCCTGCTAAGAATGACAATGACCCCAAAATTAGTTATGGGGAGGTTAGGGCTGCTCTGAGAGCAGGTACACTCTCACTATAAATAGGAATGAATTTTATTTTATTTTATTTCTCTGAGACATAAAATGATCATTATGCTTAGAGGTTTGGGATTTTTACATTGATTAAAAATATAAACAGCAGAGGCCTTTTCAGTAGTAACAATGCGTCCTGAAAAGATGATGTAATGATTAGATTTTTTGACATTTCCAATTACCATACAAACCTTTATTGCTGCATCACACCTGCTAACCCTCTGTGCAGCAACATCTACATCCATGTTTGGCTTAAAATTTAAAACTGCCTTTTTTGAGTGCTGCACAATGTTGAAAATTATGACAAATCTTAAACACATTAAAAAAAAAGGTTTAGTGATTTTTCCTTCATTTAGTATTTGGCAGCATGATGGCTTAGTAGTAGCATTGTTGCTTCACTGCAAGAAGGTCCTGGGTTTAATCTTTGGGTTGGGACTTGGGTTTTTCTGTGTGGAGTTTCCATCTTATTCTCGTGTTTTTGTGGGTTTTCCACTGGGGTCTTCTGAGTACTTTATTTTCTCTTGCAGTCCGAAAACATGCCTGTTTAGGCTGCCTTTCCTTGCAATAGAGATATGTGATCTCAGTGGCATTATCTAATTAACTTAGGGTGAAATAAATACAGTAGTCCCTCTTTACTTTGTGGTTAATTTATCACGGACTTGCTCTATCACGTTTTTTCAAAATAAGATTGGACATGACGCACAATAGTCTTATTGATGAATGAGGTGTACGATCGGCATGAAATTTTTGTTCAACATAAATTATTTTAAATTATTTAGCACCTGCTGCACGTTTATGCAGCCCCCAGGTGCAGGAGAAGCTTCCTCCTGCAGCTGATCAGCTGTTCGTTCAGAGCGGAAAAGTGGGCGTGACAAAGCGCGCTTGCAGGTGGTGAGGCAGAGAGCTGAAATCATGACATTATGTGCTTATATATATATATATATATATATATATATATATATATATATATATATTATATGGGGGAGTGGTGGCACAGAGGTTAGAGAAGGTGGGCCTGTGATCGGAAGATCGCCGGTTCAAGCCCCGGTACCAACAACATCAAAAATGTGGGTGGGGTAGGTGAAGCACCCACACATACTCCCACCCTCATTCGTCCCACTGTGGGCCCTTGAGCAAGGCCCTTAACCCCCACCATCTGCTCCTCCGGGTGTCCTAGATAGCAGCTCTCTGCTCCACACAGAGGGCTGTGGTAGCTTGGTGTCTGTGGTTGCGTCAGGAAGGACATCCGGCATAAAAAAATAAAAAAATAAATAAATAAATAAATATATATATATATATATATATATATATATATATATATATATATATACTAAAATAAACAACTACTTACTACTTGTACTTCTATCCCTGCTTTGCAGTTTTTCACTTATCACATGGCTTCAGGGTATGAATCTTCGCGATTGACGAGAAAGTACTGTAAAATTGTACTTCTACAAAATAATAAATTCTACCTCACCAAGTGTGAAGACAATTGGCTGATCTATGTTTTTGTTTGTTTTATTATTATTTTTTTTTAATTACAAATATTTGTGCTGTTGTAAAATGATTCGAGTTTTATGTGTAGTTTTTAAAATATATTTTTTGTCCAGGTCAGTGCTTGTGTTATATATACTTTGTATATAGATATACTTTGTATATATCTATATCTCTATCTATATATATATATATTTATATATATGTATTTCAATTTATTATAACTTGCAGTGTTATTCTTGTGCTCTGCAGGCTCCCAGAAGTTCGAATCTCAGACAACGGGCCTTATGAATGTCACGTGGGCATCTATGACCGGGCAACAAGGGAAAAGGTCGTCTTGGCTTCAGGAAACGTTTTCCTCACAGTCATGTGTGAGTGTCATTCTTGCTGTATTATGCCTTTGTAACACACACAAAAAAAGTTATTTTAGAAGCCTCTTGTCTGATTGTGCTCATGAACATTTTAAGAGAAGCTGCTGCTGTGGAACATGATGTGCATGGAGACGGGCAGTTCAAAGACAGAAGGTCTTTTATAGTTTGACAAAGACAAAGGTGAACTTTCAAGCTACGTGCGGGGAGCTGTACGTGTTTCATTTGGTGGAACTGGTTTTATTCAACATGAATAAAATAATTCAAAGTCGTGTAAAGACAAGAAAAAAATTAAACAAAACTAAATACTGTTAAAGTGACATCTGCATGCAGATGCAAATCTCAGTCAACTCTTACATCTTTTGGTGGCTGTTTTCCCCCTTCTACATGAAAAAAAAAAATACTGTGTATAAAAGTTTGTGAGTTGGGCAAATAAAACTACTTCTGTTGATACTGATATTGAGCTGGAATAGTTTATAATGAAAGGCATGCTTGTCCTATGAACTTAGCAGAGATAAACTTTATTCCAAAACTAGAGGGTGGAATTTTCCCAACAGAGCACTTTACTCTCAGACTGCAGGTTTACTTGGGGTTACTATGGTTTCCAAAAGCATAATGGGAGGAAGATCTTTCATTTGCCAGGCTCCTCTCTTGTGGAACCAAGTTCCAGTTTCTGTCCGTAAGGGTGACACATTGTCCAGTTTGAAAACTGGGCTTAAGAAATCCTAAGTTAGTTGGCTTGGTTTCCTTATCCTATGCTTCTGTAACTTTAGACTACTGGAGGACAAAATGACCTCATTTCATCAATGGTTACAAATGCATACAAATGAATGGTTTGTATTTGTAATTATTCTTTCTTGTTCAGTTCCCTGAGACGACTTCTGTTGTAAATAAACTGGTTCTATTTTTTAAATTGATGAAACTTCAGAGCAAGATAACAGCAATGAAGTCCATCAAATGTATAAAATAAAAGTTAATTTATTGAGATGTGTTGTCTTGTTGCCTTTCACACATATTTATAGCTTCTTCTCAACTTACCTTTGTTTTTGTTTTTCTGTCCATTATCTAACTTGACTTTGATTTACTTAGAACATTATATTATATCACTTTTGCATTTGTTAATTCTCACAATATTTAATTTAGTCAAGAACAATGATGTTGTTTCAATCGTACAAGTTATTTTTTAGTCTTTCTAGCGATTTCTGCTCGGTTTGCATTGTGTGTGTAAAACTACTGGGCACTTTCCCATTACTGTAGGAGGGGCTTAAGTTCAGTAAACATTTTTTGGTGTTGAATGTGGGTGGGGAGACATGAACGACTTGTGATACTTGGTGCACTCCGCACAGTCGGGCCTTAAATCACCACAGCTAGAAAGAAGAATGGCTCCTGGCATTGTGGCTAATTGTAGCCTAAATTGAAACAGAATTATTCATAACCTATTAGAGTCTCAAGTTCAGCGGGAAATAAAGAAAATAGTTGAGAGGAGAGAGGAAGAAAAAGGGAGGGAAAGAAGTTAATTAATAGAAAACTGTACATGTGGAGTATTTAAATTTTTAAAGGGCTTCACAAATAAGAATTATAATTTTAATGAATCTCTTGCTAAGAAATTCAATCACCAATTTCATACAGACTAAAATCTGAACTCGGCACACCAGCAACTGTCCTTCACTCTATCAAACCTTGAAATGTCATTTAATTTTTAGTGCCCTGATAAATCATATGTTGATTTTATCAAGAGTGAGCTTATGAAGAAAACAACTGTCACAGTAATGCTATGATTTAAAAAGAACAAATCACTTTTTTGAAAATATTTCTGCAGTTGGAGTGTAAACGTAACTTTTTCTAACATTCAAAAGCAAGAAAATAAATGTTTGACTATGATGTAAACTTTACTGTGCATAAAATATCCTCTTTGCAACAACACCAATATGCTTTTGTTGCGATTAAGTCGATTAAATTTATTTATATAGAGCCAAGTCACAACAGAAGTCATCTCAGGGCACTGAACAGAAACATTCATATACATAAAAAGTAAGTTAAAAGCATTAATTATGTGAGGAGCAGACTGCTTTGAGTTTAACTTCACCGTAGAACTCTCATCTTGAGCGAGCGCGAAGGCGACAGTGGAAAGGAAAAACTCCCTCATGAGGAAGAAACCTTTAGCAGAACCAGGCTCAGGACAAGCGGACATCTGCTTTGACCGGCTGAGTTTGGGAGGAACAGATACACAATGGCAGGTCAAGAATCACATGTTAAGATAGAAATAGAATCAAATGAAAACTATTCAGTTTTAACAATTTTTTTTTGAAGAAATTAGGTCAATTTGTCCTCTAGTAATCTAAGTCTATAGGAGTATAACAAGCCAACCCTAACTGTAGGATTTATCAAAAAGGAAAGTCTTAAGTCCAGTTTTAAAACTAGACCAGTGGTGTAGTCTACACGATACGTGGGTATACATAGTATGCCCACTAGAAAAGTTTAAGAATTTCAGTATACCCATTTAAAATTGCCCAATGATACATGACATATTATAAGGCACGTGCCATTGATATGTTAAATGGTAGTTTAACGCTTCCGTAACAATCTGTATACAGTGCTTGCTTATTACATTCGCTTATCCAGCAAATTATTGTATAATTAATATGTCTGATCTTAATACTTAGTACAAAGTTTGTTGTACATTTATTCAGAGAATAAGAGAAAATTGCAAATGTTCAATATGCTTAAAAATCAAAATAAATTGACAATTCCATTATACTAACCTGTGTACTTTGGATTCTAAGCACAGTATACCTACTACAAAAATGTAGACTACACCACTGAACTAGACAAGGTGTCAGCCTCACGGACAGAAACTGGAATTTGGTTCCACAAGAGAGGAGCCTGATAACTAAAAGATCTTCCTCCCATTCTGCTTTTGGAAACACTAGGAATCACAAGTAAGCCTGCAGTCTGAGAGTGAAGTGCTCTGTTAGGTTAATATGGAGCAATAAGATCTGTAATATAAGATGGAGCTAGGTTGTTGAGAGCTTTGTAGGTTAGAAGTTTTGAATTCAGTTCTGGATTAGACATGGAGCCAGTGGAGAGAAGCTCCAGTTAAGACTCTGGCAGTAGCATTTTGGATTAAGTGAAGACTTTTTAAAGAAGTATTTGGACACCTAGATAGCGAACCATTGCAACAGTCCAGATTACTAAATAAATAAATAAATAAGCAGCACCATTACAGACCCATCACACTGTCATTTTGTCATCAAGTATCACGTTTGTTCAGTTTCATCACCCAAGTTGACTAAACTGTGTTTCTCTGTTCCTGTAGAGGAACCCATTGACACAAAGCTGAACGGTAATTCATGCTGAGACCTGCAGCTGATTTTAAAGTTTGAAGCTAAGATCTGAAGTGAAAGGTTAAGCATGAGAAGCTCATTATGGGGAAATGATGAAGTAAGCTGATGGACAGAACCCTTATTGGATGTATTGAATTTACTGTCTAACCACTGTCGGTTTCAGTCTGCTGAGGCTTCGTCCAACAACAGGTTGGCACATTCAGCGCAGAAATACAACTCATCCGTCCACTCACCATCATTTTTTCACTTAGGTTTTTGTGATTAACATATTAGGTTTAAACAAGAATTAACAAAATATATTACTATTTTTATATATTATATACTTTATTTAGATGTTTTATGATCAGTGGTCAAAGTAAGCTTTTAGAGAAATGTATTTGTAAAAATTAACTACAATATCATCGGGGTTTTTTGTTGTTGTTGTTGTTGTTTGTATTTACAAAGCAGGTGGAAGTTTACTGACAATGGAGATGAGAACATTAAATGTAATTTGGAAAGATCATGAAGTTTATTTATGTATTTGTGTGATATGTTTTAAAGTAACCAACAGTACAGCCCGGGGTAATTATACTCAACAATTTTTTGAAAATATCAAATCAAATATCAAAATATCAATATCAACAAAATATGTGGACCTGTCTGCATGACATGCTTCATCTTACGCTCTGAATCTGTGACCCCCCCCCCCCCCCACACACACACACACACACACATTAAAACTGTTACGAGATCTCACTAAATTACATTTTAATTGTGTAAATGTTTATGAAGCATTCACACTATTGTGATCTATTTTTACGCCGTACGTTTTTTGGCATTCCACAATTTCATTGTTGTTTCAACAAATTACATATAAATCAAGACGTTCAGCTCTTTCAGGACAATCCTGCTATGACTTTTTGGTATTGGTGCAACTTTAGCTTTTAGAAATATTTAGCCTGCCATTTGTTTTCTCATTAAAAAAAAATGAATTGAGCTCATTTTTCATCCTTTAAATTTTTAGATCTGTTTACATTTTACTGTTCCTTTCACATTTTGTGTCAGTTCTGTTTCTTTCAGCTTCCTTGTGCAAATGGAAACCTTTTCAGCTACTTTCAGCTAATTGCAGCTGTTTTGTGCTCATTTCAGCTTCTTTCTGCTAACTACAACACTTTTTGTTTCTTATAACTTCCATCCATCATCTTTACATGCTTCTTCTTTTTTGGGTCGCAGGGGATGCTGGTGCCCATGTCCAGCAATCACTGTGCGAGAGGCAGGGGACACCCTGGACGTTTCTCTAGTCCATCACAGGGACACATGGAGACAAACGAGACAAACAACCATTCACTCTCTCACTCACACCTAGGAACAATTTAGAGTTACCAATCAGTCTAACATGAATGTTTTTGGTCTGTGGGAGGAAACCAGAGCACCCGGGGAAAACCCACGCATGCACAGAGAGAACATGCAAACTCCACCCAGAAGGCCCCCGGACCGGGATTAGATCTGGCGACTTCTCGCTGAGAGGCAACCGCTCTACCAACTGAGCCACCGTGCTGCCTCCTTCCAACTTCTTTCTGCTAATTTCAGCTTGTTATGAGCCATTTGGCTTATTTCTACCAGTTTCAGCTTTTTATGCCGTTTCAGCTACTATTTAGCAGTTTTTATGGTAATTTTAGC